AGAGAATGCTCACTGCACAAGTGCTTTATATAAGCATTCAAAATATTGCACTTTTTACCCCCAATATTAATACTATGAGAAATAATCCCTATGTCAATGAGTGATGTGACCAACATCCAGGCTCAGGAGAGGGCAGTAAACTACTTTGAAAGGGGGTCATCTCTAAATAAAAATTACAGAAAAATCCACCTGTAAAATTATCCAAATTGGTAATTCTCACAAAAATATTCCCAAGAGTACAACAAAATTTAAAGGGGGTGATAAAAAGACCTACATAACAACAGCAATAATCACATTTTACACATAAGGAAACTCTGAGACTCAGAGTATGTGATTCTGTAGACCCATACAATGAATAAGTTGTAGGATACAAGCCTGTTCAGTGTTTAATTTCCTGTTCTTTCAATAACAGTAGTACTTTCCAAAGTGTATTATTTGAACTTCTAGTGGTGTGAAGCAATGCAAAACAGAGGTTAAGTACATAGGCACTAATCAAACTACCTGGCTCCAACCCTGACTGCTACTCTCACAGGAGCATGAGCAAATTACTTAATCTTTCTAAGTCTACACTTCTTCTTCCATAAATGGGATAACAACACCCATTCCGTACGTGTTAAGAATTAAATTCAGGGAAAATGGAGCGTATGTGTGTTTATGTATATTTATAGTAAGTACTTAATAAATATTAACTATAAGGATATAACTATATATTAGGTAGCATTTTAATAATTATCCATTTATTGGAAATTAAAACATCAATTTCACCAATATGGTTAATTAGAATAAAGCTAAAGGGTTTTCTAAACTAATTTTTTAAAACATGTGTTTTATAAATAATAATGCAGGTAGTATACAGATATGGAAAAAGGAACAACAGGTAAGATACCAACCTCACTAGTAACTGAGGAAATGCAAACTGAAACAATAGTGAGATAACATGTTTTGACTCTCAGCTTTACATTTTTTTTTAAAAATTAGTATTACCAGTGTAGTTAATTGTGAAAGGAAAAGAATATTCTGAGAATTTTTTAATGTTTAGGTCTAAATGTGGTAGATCAAACTGAACTGCCATAAAAGGATATTTAGAGATATTCAAGATAAAGTAAACTACTATGAATACTAGGGGTCCATATAATTTTAAATATATATAAATTTTTATGTCTGCATACTGATTTATAGGTAGATACATACTCACAGAAATAAAAAACAAAAAATCCAAAGTAACACATGGTAAACTGTTAACAATAATGTAATAATATCATGGGGACAAATGGGGAGAAGAATGGGAGGGGTATAAAGCTGAAAACATTTCCTTTAAATTCTATATAAATCTCTTACTCCATCCCAAGTAAGCATGTATTTCTTCATCTATTACTTTAAAAATATTATTTTTTAAATGGCAAGAACAAAATTTTCCAAACTATCAACTTAAGCTGTACTCTCTAACATTTACTCTTGTTTTTATCAGATTATGGGAAATAATTATTTCAACTGAAAAGAATGTCATACAAACTGGAAAAGAAGCTTAACATTATTTTGACACCTTCAACAAATCACATAACGTAAACTCAATAGTAAATAATGTCACAAGTAACATACTCTTAAGCCAAGGTCTAATTTTAGGTGAAATCAAATACAAATTACACTGATATTTACCTTGAAAGAAGTTCAAAAGTGGCAGAGGAAAATGTAAATGTTTAAACTATGGATTACATGGTTATTCAGGTCCCGAAAGTATCTGTTAAATGTGTCCCATCATAAAGGTGGCAAAAATAAACCTGCCTGAAGCATTCTGCAAAAGTGCTTTTAAGAAATTGAGGAAATGAAAACTACTGTAAGATTAGATTTTACCAGTGTGGTTATTTAACTTTGCTGTAATTTTATGATAACCTCTATTAGGTAAAAAGCATATAATAATATGACCAATCAAAATTGCCTTCTGAAAGTAAAATGTTATTCAAAAATCACACATTTTTCTAAAATATAAAGTTCCATTTCATATCCAATTTTCCAGATTTAGAGTATTACCAAATTTTTCATAATATTTCTTTTTACAAAAGTATTTTTCTTACCAGTTTAAGGTTCCCTCCCTAAATAATTAAGCAAAGACAATAGAAACCACTTCATAGCTCTTACCTGTAAATTAACCAAGGTTCCAAATCGACTAAAATGCTCATTAAGTTTGCTGATATTATTTAATTCTGGAGGAACTTTTCTAAGTTCAAGTTTGGTATTTTCGTTTCCAAACTGAACCTTTTTCTGGAAGCCTGGGCTGTTTGTTCTATTAAAATTTGGTCTGTAACAAAAAATCAAGTTAATTAATACATTCATTTATAAATCCTGATCTCTATCAAATACAAAGGAATAAAGCTTTACAACTTAAGTTCAATATTTTTTCAAAATTGAAATTTCTAGTTGATAAAGGAAATTTAAATTTTTTCCTCAAAAAATGAAGTTTCCAAATTAGTAATGTTCACATCTTTCATGGAAGCCACGTGAGAAGGGTTCTTACATATCATTTTTGTTCCTTTCCACTTTCCATTCCACTCCTACTTAAAATTTTTAGCAGGAAAGGTCTTCGCACCCTTTTTCAGTTAATTTGCGTATATTACCTTTGACCGCTTTTGCAAAAGCTAGGTACTGAAATACTTCCTATTTTAAAACATTGATTAAAAGCAAGAAATGACTGTCCAAACTTCAGTCTCCTCCCAGAACCGATCCATCCTTCCTTCCCTAACAGTGGGCTCATGACTATCCTTTATATAGCTAGTATTCAACAACATCTCTAAGTTAAGGGGTGCAGTTTTTTTTTTTTTTGGAGGTGGAGGGAGGTATAAATAGGATAAATTGTGTGCTCAACCACCACATCATTTCTGTAAAAAAGCTCCTTCCAAGTACAGACAACTAACTTACACATTTTTAGAAAACAATTACTATATATTTCAGTTGAGGACAGCCTACAAAACAAATTTTATTTTGAAAGAGAACTGTCACAGTAATACTGTAACTACCCTAAAAAATCACTGTACAATAAAATTCTTTCATTTTTCCTGCCAGCTTACTTATCAAACCACGTCTTCTTTGTAGGAACTCCAGGCTCCCCAGAACCAATGGTTCTTTTCCTTGACTCTGAATCCACTACTATCCTCATACTGCTTTTATTAGGAGGCTTTTCTGTTTGAAAAAAAGAAAAGAAAGAAAAGCATAGATTAATATTTTGTTAATCATAGCCACTTCCTTAACTTTGGATTAAAAATAAAGTTCTGGCTTTCCATCCAAATTCACAATTTGGAAGAAAGAGAAATACACCTCTAAATATAGTAATCTAAGAAATTTTTAACTCAGACTGAATTCCTTTCACACCTAATTGAAGAAGAATCAGTAATTCTCACATGTCAAATTAATAACAAATAAATCATCCTGGGGCTGAGTTTATAGTTTTGAAATCAAATGCACAATCTACAAGATTCAACATTTAACACTATTCCAATGACCTTTAAGAACTGATAGCTTAAGAGTTGTGACTGAAATGAGTTACTTATGTAAACATCAGCATATTAACATAATAAAATCATGCTAAATTTAAAAAGGTAAAGATTCAAGACTGAAATGCAGTGCAAAAAATATCTGCTCCTTTCAACATTTTACATACACTTAGATGGAGTGTCACAAATATAGAACTACATTTTATCTGTTATTCCCAAGTGACACCAAAGTTTAAAACATGCTAAACTTAGTCCACACAGAAAAATGTATTTTAAAATTCCTTTTTTAAAGATGGATTAATTGATTGTATAAATCCTACCCTAAGTATTTCTAAACACATAACTAAAAGAACTTAGGATCTGTTTCAGCACACTCTGTTTCATGGCTCTAACTATAATCTCCACACAGATTTTCCTACCAAATCTGTTCTTCCTCTCAGTGAATGATATTATCATTTGCCCAATTATCCAGAGCAGAAACCTGGTATCATTCATTCCACCCTCTCCATTACCCCCATTCTAAGTCCCCAAATTCGGTAACTTACAAGTGTTGTCAGGTCTTCCCACTAAACTTAAATCTTTTACTTCTCATTCTTAATACCTAGACCAGCTACTATCATCTGTCTTCTAGAATTTTTCAAATGCCTTTAACTGGCCTCAGATCTCTCCTCACCATCTCTTACTCCCTCTGTTCCAATCAAAAAGTTCTTCCAGTTTCTCAAAAGTATCACAGAGTGTATGTGCTTTATCTACCCTCTTTCTCTGGTTAATTCTGACTTATGCTAAATCTCCACAGCAGATCAGGTGGTAGCATCCAGTATTTGGCAATGCAGATATTCACAGTGCCAGTTACAGTCTCTCTGCCCAGTGGTATCTTCACAGGACCAGTTCTGCAAAAGAATTTTTGACCTTATTCCTGCATCTCAAGTCTGGTTCACTAAAGAGCCTTTGAGCTATTCAGTATCCTTTTTTACTTAAATATGTTCTTTACCTGAAGAGTTACTAAGACAGAGAGTGATGGGTTCACTCCAACTCATATTCTCTCATTCATATTCTCTTTCATTATTATTTATTTAAAAGCAGAAGTGTTAAAACACTTAGTATACTACTAACAAATGTGTCTATCAGTTATAATACACTGGTTTTTTTCCCCCGATATGCTTTTAATAAATTGTTTTTCTGCTTAAAATTTTCAGCACTGGTTTTGTTGATGGCAAACAGAAAACTACTTAGCCCTTCTTCCTACCTAAATCCAATCAAGGGAATATCTGTCAACTTCTCTACCTGTTTAGAAATCTAGAAAGAACAATTATCAGAGCCTCTAGGTCACTTCTATATTAGTAATTCCAAAGCACAAAAAGGCCTAAAGTTTTTTCATTTGTTTAGTAACAATAATTCCCTATGAAGTTTAAAGTGTGAAGCATAAAAATATAGTTATCACATACTAGTAGCCTATGACAAATTTAAACTAGGCCATCTACAGCCTATTAGAAATGTATAATAACAACAATATAATAAACCTCTAATTATGTATACGTCACAATCCAGACCAGTAAATTTCAAATCAAATGGGCAAAAGATAAGAACATTTTGGGGGAGGAGAACTGAAAAAGATAAGGAAATAAAAGTACAGGTAATCCTCAATTTAAATGGTTTGCTAAATCAGCTGTCTGGTACATAAAAACAATGTTATTAATGGAGAATATATTCCTAAACCAGCTTACAAAAACAGCATACATTGTCTAAAGAATAGTACTAAAATAATCACTATGTACAATGATTCTATGGGAAAAGGCATTCAAATTTCTAAGTAGGCATACCAAACATTTATCTCTCAACAAAGCCATTTCCTATAACTTGTAAATACATGCATGTGAAGCTGAAATTACCATAACTCCAACTTCTACATGCATATGCAAGGTGTCTGATCCTTCCTTTTCTCAATCACCAACAAAAAACTGGCCTAGAATTGGGATGGGACTAATAAATAATGATCTATAGTGGCATACATTTATGCCAACCCAAAGCAGCAAGGTGAGATATAATTTGATGTCGACGGTTCCAGTAAGAGCAAGGAGTACTGGTATAATGAAAAGAAAATAAATGCTAAGTAGTGACCCAAAGAAAGAAGGGGTTTCCTCTGAACCAGCCAGGTAGGAGAGAGCTCAGGAGATAAGTAAACACCATGAACAGCAACAATCTTAAGTGGCTACTTTTCAATTACAAGCAATCATATTATCTCTTACCAGAGAAACTGTTAAAAAACCTTTTATCTGATGTTGTTGTTGTTGTTAATGATAGTTATTAGAACGACTCAAGGAGAATTTAAAAGGTGTGGGAAAAAGGGGCATCTACGTGAAATGTTGTTCTGTAGTCTCAGAGGATATAAATTAAATTGGGTATGAATTTAAATGTTCCTCATATCCATCACAAAAAGTTCTCTGAACACTCAAGGTAGATGTCCAGAATCTGACAGTTTCTAATGAACAACAACAAAGTTCAAAGTGTAGGTAAATACAAGTTTACTAAACCACATTAGGTATTGCCTGTTATTTGAATAAGTTGGACTTTTATTCACAATTGATAATGCATGATTTTTTACTAGAAAAAAAAGATAGCAAGGGAAGATTGGGAAAAAATGGGATTTTAAAGTTGGCTAAAGTAGTTAGGGGAAAAGATTTCTTTTTATTGGACAATATTATGTCTGACAATCTCTCATTTCCCTATAACAAATATTATCTGTAGCAAATGCTCCATCTTTCAAATGACTATGAACCTTCCCTCCTCTGAACCTTCATACCACTTTGCACGTTTTGTGTAGCACTTTTCCTGCCCTGGCTTGTGTATCAGTCTAAATTCTGTCTTCTCCCATTTCAAAATTGTATCAAAATGTCTATCTCCTCTAAGAAAAGTTTAAAAACTAATGAGTCACTTTCTAACACACACTTTTTTGCATAAAACATAAGCAAACCAATATCAAATCCTAACATGTTAAAAGTAAACAAAAATAAAATATGTATCAAGCATTTAGTTAGCAGAGCTAATTTCATTATCTAAACTCCAAAAGAAACTGTCTTTAGGAATTAAAGCATTACTCTTAAGAGTTCAATAAATTAACCAATTAAGACTGTAAACAATAGAATATACCCACAGAATAAGTACTTTTAGGAGATTCCTCTCCACTTGGATGGTAGAATAAAATGTCACTAGTGCACAAATAGGGTACCGCACATTACCTTCTCTCTCACTGAGACCACAGGATCCGAGGAACAAACATACCACTATTCCGTGTTCAACTTCAATAAACACAGGACTCACTGTTCTTTATAAATGTTTTCCATTCTTGAGATTATGAAAATGACAAGAAGAAAAGATTTATCATAGTACCTCTGGGTGGCAAATCCATATCTCCTGATGTTAGTCCTATCAAGTTAGGCCTCTGTGCATGTACTCTGTGTCTATACATAGGTCTGGAAGTATTTGTTATGCTTGGGGCTTCAGGATTGTAGCCATCTGTGTCATATGTATCTGGTAATACAAAAACTGTAATTAAAAAACAATTATAAAACTCCACTTGGTAATTTTTTATACTGATAAGAGAAAAAGTATACCATATAACATGTTATTAATTCATAACTAATGTTTTACTATATACATTAAAAATTAGTTTAAAAAATAAAATGTTATTAAAAAGGAAAAACTTGGTTTTTTAAAAATCGTAACTGATGACTTACATTTAATGTACATTCACCATGTCTACATTTTATTCCACATAATTTTAGTGGAAAAGACCTAATAGAGCGATTCATTCTCTAGACATTTTTTAACTCATCTAAAACTCTTCTCTAAAATTATATAACATTATTAATATAGAGAGGACCAAAACTGCACCTGCAGTAAAAAGAGAAGGTGGAGCAGGAGGAGGCTGGTGATGAATGCCAGTTGTTACTACAGTAGGAACAGAACTGGTTGCAGAGTTTGGGGGAGCATCCATGCCGGATGGCTGCAAAGGAGGAAGTGGAGGTGGTGGTCCTGTCAAAACCAAAGAATAAGAAATATCATCTGAAAGCAAACAAATAAAATAAGTTACTGTATATCCAAACATGGTAAGTCTCATTTATCAGTCAAACTGTAATACCTACAAATACCAAACTCTTACAACTGTACTGGTTTTCTAGGGTAATATATTCTTTTAATGTATTCCAAAACAGGTCTGTTTTAAGCCATAAAGGACTACAGGCAGCTGGGATTCATTAGGGAAGTGTGTAATTCAGGGTCACCCCAAACCACAGTAAACCATAGGTCTGGTGTAGCCTGCAAGGTAGGGGTATATTCCAAATGGGAGCATCTTTCTCTCAGTTTCTAGTAGACATCTACAGGTTAACTTAAGATACTTTTAACAAAAGCAAGCATCAAACTGTTAACTTTCATAAAAAACTATGAATGGACAGACATTAAGTAGAGGCAAGCATATTTACTTACCTGTGACAGGTGGTAGACTGGGTGGTAAGGGGCCTGGTGGTGGCACTGGAGGTCTCAGATTCACAGGTGGGGGTGTAAGAATTGGTGGAGGGGGAGGGAGTCCGGGAGGAGGTGGTCCTTCAACAACAGGAGGCTGTGCGGGGAAAGGCAGCATACCAGGAAGATTCACATCTTCTACAACTACCGGGTCACTGCCATGATCAAAGGGGCACATGTCTCCTCTCATACAGAAGCCCTTTTCTGTGAGGAAGAGTTAGAAAGAAATATGAAAAGTGTTAGACATATACATTTTCTCTAAGTTAACAAAAGTTAAGACATTTAAAAAACAGGAATATTTTTGAAAAAATTTTGAAAACTAGGCAAGTGTAAGTAACCATATCACAAGAGCTACCTTCTAATTTCCAGTAGTATAAAATACTTATCAAGTGGTAATACAGCTAACATACACACTAAAAAAATATATCACCAAATTAAAATGAGTATACTTAGCTCTCAAGGTGATATAAAATCTAAAATTTTTGTTAGATTTTTACCACTAGAAACATTTCCTTTATTTAAATCTCTCACATAAACTTTCAGAATACTGCAACTACAATTTTAACACAATTTACAAAACTTTTACAGGCAAACCTCAAGAGTCTTCAATTCATTAATAAAAGTATTACAAAGGTGACATTCACATTTCTATGTTCTACTGACATGCCAATAACTACTGATTTCTAAAGAAGTAAGTTTTGTCAAGAATGTTTCAGTAGCCAATTGCCTGATAAATAACTCAGTAGATACTACTTCTGTTTGGTAAACTCCAAAAATATGTTAAGACTTAAGTACAAAGAAAGACTACCTTCAAATTGATATTTAACAGTCAGTGGTGACAATGCAGACTTCAATAATACACTGAGGAATTATGAAGTGCTTAAAACTAATTTCCTACTATTTTCAATAGGTTAACTCTTAGTAACTGTGTGTAACTTAAATTTACAGAATTTAGTCAGCTGGAAGTATTAATTCAAGACTTCATGAAGTAGCTGAGAGGCTTACCATCATAGTCTCTACACCGTTTCTTTGGCATTGGTGGTCTTACATATGAGTTATGGTCCACTTGGTCTTCATGAAATTCAGACCAACTTTCGGTAGTGTTATTACCATGATGAGTAGGAGCAATTACTGTAATAGTGCTGCTCAAAGTAGGTACAGGGTAGTGGCCAGATGAAATGTTAGGTACCGAAGAGACTGGAGTATAATTGTTTTCTAATGGATCTGCTCTATCCAGGTCGTATTTAGGTTTTACCAGGTCCCTTTCTGCAACAAAATATAAATGACTTATAAAACTATACTCTGTTTTTAAAAAGTCTCAAATCTAAGAAATAGATATTTTTGCTAAACAAGGAAAAAGGTCAAATTTTACAAAATTGTTCTTTTAAAAATTATTCAATGAATACACCATATTCCAAGACAAGCTATTTCTTTTCAATATGACCTAAAAGACCACACATAAAGTTGCTGTACTTAATGAGACTTTTCTTAGAGTTTTATTTGTAGAAAAGGGACTTTTTATTTTCTTCATTGCAATCTTAGTATGCGTAACTTCAGCCAACAAAATAAAATATGCAGTAAAGTATGGTTACTTTTTCTGTGATAAACATTTAGCTGTCATCCATCTAAAGGTCCTAGCATGGCTTTTTTAAGTGAACACTATTCACTGAAGGTAAGAATGGATGAGTAAGGAAGAGAAAAAAAAAGGAGCTCATAATAAACATGAACGAAAAAATTAAGTGGGCTAATGAAAGAGAATTTACCAAGGAAAGAGAACTAAGATATTAAGGAGATCAGGTAAGTGAAGCAATGTGCAGAAAGACCTAGTGTATCTAGATCAAAGGGGAAAAAAACTCTAAGAAAAGAGTAACAGAGAAATACAAGGTTTATACAAAGGCCACAAATTTTCTAAAGACTAAAGATAACTATACAATAAAGGTCACGAGGCAGTAAAAATCTCAGCTTGAGCAAAGATGTTTTACTCTAAGGAGTTTTAGTTGTTTTACTGCCTGCAATGTATTCCTCTCAGTAATACACATCAGAAGAAAAATTATACATGTTGGAAATGACATACTCATGCAAACATACACATCCAAAATGAAAATTTTTAATTGTTTATACATATTGGAAATGAAAATTTTTAATTGTTTTCAGTTTTGAGGTCTGATATATAATAAACTGAACATATTTAAAATACACAATTTAGTGAATTTTGATCTATGTATACACCTGTGAAACCAAACATGATTAAAAATAATGTACAGACTGTGCATACTCATCACCCCAAAAAATATATCCTTGTGCCCCTTTATGATCCACCCCTCCTTAACTCCATCCCAGGCAACCACTGATTTGTTTTCTGTCATCACAGACTAGTTTACATTTTCTAAATTTTCTCTCTCTCTCTCACACACACTCTTTTGTGTGACTTCTTCCACTCAGCATAACTATTTTGAGGTTTATTTATTTTGTTGCATATATCAATAAGAATTAAAGTCTCCTTTTTATCTTTTCTACAGGTATACCATAATTTGTTTCTCTATTCACCTATTGATGGACCTCTGGATTATTTCTAGTCTTGGCTATTACAAATGAGGCTGTCACAATCATCTGTGTGTCTTTTTGTGGAGATACACTTTCATTTCTCTTAGGTAAACACCTAGGAATGGAATGGCAGGGCCATTTGGTAAGTATAGCCTAACATTCTTAAGATACTGTCAAAGTATTTTCCAAAAAGTTCCAGTTTATCTCCATCCTTACCTACTCTAAGTAGCTGATGGGTATGCAGTGGTAATTCGTTGTTTTAATTTACATAAAATCTTTTAAAGAAATTTTTAAAAATCATCATTTGCCTGGACCACAAAATATATCAAAACAGAAAAAAAATGAAGATAACAATGACAATATAAAAAAATTTTTTAAATTCTCAAATACAAAATTTTTTTCACAATAAATGCCAACCAAAACATACGTATATATGGATTATTTACCCCTGCTTCGTGTCCTGCTTCTGCTTCTAGTCCTGCTTCTATCCCTATCCCTGTCACGAAGCCTCTCTTTACTCCAGCTTCGACTCCGACTCCTGCTATAACTGCGACTTCGCCCTCGTCTTCTATTGTACCGGTCTCTGTACGAATCTCTTCGAGGAGGGTTTCGATCATAATCTCTTTTTCGAGAACGATCATCTTTCTTCCTCTCATCACGACTTCTAAAAAAATATACAATCACTTTTATGAAAATAATTTCTAAGTGGATACAAGAAAAACTCCAATTAAATGCAAAAGTCCTATTTATTCTTGTAACATTATGATTCTTCACCCCACCATCAGAATAGAAAATAAAGGAAACTCAAACAACTGAAAAACTGAACATCATCAATTTAAGTACTCTAAAATCTCTTTAAAGGAAAAAAACTTCTTTTGAAGTACTAATTCTTAGTTTTATACACAAAGGTATCTATACATTAAAGCATCTGTACATACATCCTATAGTATATATATACTGTCTTCTACACAGTCTCATACTTAAAGGTATATATCACATGTATTGCACTCTAAATGCTTTTGAAGCCTTAATGGGAAAAATAATTTATTCACAGTAAAGGGAAACTTTGTACTAAAAAAGATCTCACATTAAGATTTCACTGGGAGCGGGGTGGGTATAGCTCAAGTGGTAGAGTGCATGATTAGCATGCATGAGATCCTGGGTTCAATCCCCAGTACTTCCTAATTACTGCCCCAAACCACCAAAATAAAATAATTAAATAATACAATAATAAATAAGTAAAATATTAAAAAAAAGAAACTTCATTAGAATTAAAAGTTAGAAATAGAAATAATAACTAACATGTCAATCACTGTTCTAAATCTCACTCTAGGACCTACAAATCTCACCCAGATATTCTTGGTAGAAAAAGACAGAGTTACACTTTCCCAGACCAATAAAACAGTAGATATTACTTTCCCCTACGTAAAAGAAAATCAAGTCTGAATATTCATATAAAAGATAACCAATGTCTAAACATTGAACATAGTTCAAAGAATCAATTACCTATTTTCTCTGTATCGGGAGCTTGACTGGGGAGGACTGTGATTTAGCCTTCTAGAAAACTTCTTCTCTCGCTCTTCCTCCTTTGTGATCTGATACACAAAGAAAAATGTGTGTAAGTTTAATAACAGTTATTTCTTGCCATGCTACTGTTTCAATGACTTAACTATTAAAATATAAGAGCAAAATACCTCTTGCAAAAGTATTCAAACAAAATAAATTTCTAAATACAATTATTTAACAGTAAAAAACAGGCTTGCTGAAAGTTAAAGTGAATAATAAATTCATAAATGTTTATCTTAGGTAATAGTAGTGAAAAAACATTTCAAGCAAATGTCTTTGTTTTTAACATAACTAGTGGAAAGCCAATTTTATTTCTTCTTTCAAAAGTCCACTCAAGTTTTGGATCCATGGATTTCGTCTGGCATCAAACAATACATAAGGGGATATAGGAGAATGTATTAAAAGTAACCAAGTTATAGAAAAAGGAAACATTTGAGAAAGCAATATATAAGGTGAAACTAGTTCTGTAGTTTTCGTATAGTAGTATGACAGCTATATATATTCCTCTTTCCTACAATTCATATTATATAACTAATAGAAAGCAGTCCTGGATCAGTTCCCTTGATCAGTGCTACTTTCTGTAGGCCAGAATTTTCCATGCTGCCCAGAAAACTGGTTCCACAGGACATGAATAGGTGCTATTAGGAAAAAAAAAAGGATTTAGAGAATAAACAAATTCAGGAAATATTGAACATGACCCTCTGTAAATATGATAGGGCTCAAAACTTTGCATTTTTAATAAAAACTCTAAGATATTCTAATGCAGACAGTCTACAGATACTACAAACACGTCCCAGTTTGTGTCAGTTATTTCAGCATTCCTTTGGGCAAGAGCCTCTCGCTGTCAAGTGTCCCACATGGCATGATAAATTAAATGGAAGTCCTATCAACAGACCAAACTCTGAGAAACAATGCTTAAAAGCCTTCTTTTAACAGTTTCCCTTTGTGTGTGTGTGTGTGTGTAAGTACTTTTGTCCTACTCTTCTACCCATTTCAAACCTCACCCCTGCAAAAAAAAAGGGGGGGGGGCAAATAAAATCCTCTTGATGCCTTTCTTCCCTTCTATTTGCTTCCATGTACTCTTGCAAGTAATTTATGTTGACAGATCATCATATTCCATAGTACATGCCCATGAATTCCCACAACTGGGAACTTTTACTACATCCACAGCCATTTTAAGTCCAGATTGGCATCTGACATCTCCATTCTGAAAGATGAAGGACAAATATCCTTCACAACTAGCCAAGACAACGGTGTCAAATATTGTTATCAACAGATGTTACGACTAACGCTTCAACATTAACTCATTTGGTGGAAAATAGCAAAGTATCTGAAAAAAAACTGAAACCCAAACTTTCATCAATGGGCAAAATTTAAATAAATTATTATATATCTCTATGTAGCATAAGCAGATGTCAAGACAGTATCTACTATCCCATTCTTCCTTACTAATAGAACCCCTATACTGTTAGATACAAAACACACAGTTATAAAATTATTTCTGGTCTTTCCTGGCAGAACCCTTACACTGTTTAGATAAGAAATATGCAGTTATAAAATTATTTCTGGTCTTCCCCAGCTGATGGTGTTTTATGTGTATGTGTGTCTGTGTAACTATATACACATACATATGTGTAAATATGTTCAGATATAGAGATAAAAATACACTTGAGAATTGGTATATAATACATATGTAAATATATTGTGGAAAAAACCAGGGAGTATCAGGTGAAAAAACCAAAGATCACAACCAAAACCACATCACCCATCACACAACAGTCTTTCAACAATAGCAACTGCCATTTACTGAGAACCTACTTTGTGCCACACACTCTGCCATGTGCTTCACAGGTATTAGCTTACTATTCCCCACAACAACCCTCTAAATACTTCCATTTCACAGCTGTGTAAACTAAAGGTTGGAAAAGTATTATTTTCAAGGTCACAAAGCAATGGCTGGGAAAGGCAAATTTTAACCAAGACATGTCTGACCTAAAACTAGGCTATCTGCAGAAATATAATAACTTAATTGTCAACAATGATCTTTGCTAAAATTATAATTTTTAAACATCAACTTGAGGATATTTGAATTATTATATGATTATTAAACAGGAATGGTAATCTTGTAAAAAGATAAAAAAAAACTTCAAAACCTCTTAAAGTATGAAGTAATTTTCACTGCCCTGTGAAGGTCCTTTTATTTGACTACCTTAAAAATAAGTCTCCTACAAAATGCATGTAGGCAGAAGCAAACAGATCTGTCAGTCTAACTAATCTCACAGAACAGGTAAGAGTCCAGAACTATAAAATACTGTGTAGAAGAGTTAAAAGCAGGCCTGAGACTATTATTTTTAGAAAGTCATGCTGACAAGGTAGGCCCTTGGCTGGCATCTGCAAACTTTGATTTCTGAAGGTTCCCATCATTCCCTGATAACCATAGCTCACCATGTCTGAACTGTCTATATAAACAATATGGTTAATGCTAAACATCTGCTTTCCTCCTTGGAGTCTCGGATTCTGGAACATACTACACTGAAGGTGCCTATGTTACCATCCCTAAATAAAAACCCTGGCACTGTATCTCTAATGAGCTTCCCTGGTTCATATGTGTTGTCACTACTCATTAAGCACACCCTATTTGACTCCACTGGGAGAGGCTTCTGGAATTCTGTTCCTATTTTCCCCCAGACTTTTCACCATACACTTTTTTTCTCTTTGCTGATTTTGCTCTGTATCCTTTCACTGTAAGAAATCATAGCCATGAGTAAGACTGACTATACACTGAGTCCTGTGAGTGCTCCTAATGAAATCATCACACCTGGGGGTGGTCTTGAGGACTCTCAACACAGATACAGAAAATAAAACTCAGTTTAATTATTATAAATAGGTTTTTAAAGAACATGTAAAATTTAACACAGATTCTTACCTCTTCTTTTTTTATATCTTTTTCTTGGTGCTGAAAAAATTCTACCTTCAAGCTTCCTGATGATGGCTGCTCTGGAGGAGGTAGGTAACTCTTTGTATTCACAGCATCAAAAAGTTTTTCCACAAATATCTGCGTCTCTAAAAACAAAACCAAAAATACCACAGATTAAAAAACATTTCCTAAGATATTAATTCTCCACTTCTCTACCTCAGACTTAAATATGATGAAACATGCCTTCACCTTACAAATCTAAAAATTATACTAAGACCAGTAACTTCCTGACCAGTGTGGCATGGCACAAGTCCACGGTAATACTGATCTACTCAGTTCTCAGGGTGGTGAAAGCCAGAATAGACAGAACCTCTGGCTCAGTCGTTCCCAGCCGTGACTAGTTTCCAAGTATTCTACCCAGCGTGCCAAACAGAAATATTATCATTAACTATATACTAGCAAAGTGAAAAAAGTTGAGAAGTGCTGTGCTAGACAAAATTCAAAGTATTATCTTTCAGTCACCTTCCTGATCTTTTAAGAAAAAATGTCATTATTCTTTAAAAATAAGCATGACGATGTTAATGAAAGAAAAGACTTCTGTTATAAATAACCTATGGATATAATTAGTAACAATACTATTTGTTCAACTTTGTTACAGTTAAAGCCTATCTCTTACTGAGCTCCTTTAATACTCTCTGAATCTTATTTTAAATAACTTATTAAAGTAGTGCTTTTAAAGTAAAGATCTTACCTTTTTGAAGAAATACATCCAGTTGATCAATACATAATGCCTTTAACTCTTTTTCACTTTTGTCTTTCTTTACCAAAGCGAGAACATATTTTGCTAGGGCTGATGGATCTGCATCACAGCTGAAGAAAAAAGCAATATTGAAGAAAATTTAGCCATAAATAATTGCACATTCTACAAATTCCAGTTACAAACTAAGTCAGTATGATAGTTAAGTGAGTTAATACATGTTAAAAGCATCTGGCTCATAGAAAGTAATGAAGAAATGTAAGTTCTTCTTCCCTGTATTAATATACTCTACTGAACCCCAGTTTGTTCCATGAGCTGTGTTCCATATTTTACATACTGTACTTAGTTCTCAATTTAACTGATGAAACTGAGGTTCAGAAAAAAGCTAAGCCAACTGCGCAAGACTACATGTAGTTAGTAACAGAATCAAGATTTAAATCTAAATTTCTTACTCCAAAGTCCACACTCCTAGCCACTACACCAGATTGCCTCTTACAATGATCTGCCCAAAATCCAGACTTCCGATTTACTTATTCCTATAAACATCTAGTTACAGCCACTAACTCCCTACCCATCCAATTATTCCTACAAAAAAAACCTCCCTAGAATGCCTCCCTATATCCTTAGTTGCTATCCAAGGCACAGTCCCTCTAATTTACTACTCCCTGGACTCTCCCCTTTTCAGGTTAATTTTCAGAGTTCATTATTTCAAAGAGCCTCTAAATTCCTCAGCCACATTTGCTTCACTTTCTTTCTACTAATCTTCTATGTCACCAAGTAAAATCCCTACCTAGAATCCATTTCCCTGCCCCACTTTATTTATTTTCCTAGCTTGGCTTAGTTTCATGCCAATAACATAAATGATGCTCAGTAAATTATATTTTCAAAGGACACTGATGACACAAAAAGGCTTACCAATCATGGCTTAAAAAAAAAGACAAATATATTAGGGAATTACAGTAGGGAGAGAAGACTACAAATGAGGGGGGAGGTAGGATAACGTAATAGTTCATTTATGGAAAAACATACACACGATATATGACATCCTTCAATTGATTTTTATTGCTCTTTATTATAACAACTGTTAGCAATTCTGACTCTATAATAAACATTATTTTAATAATAAAAACAAAACAGAGATTCCACATGTCCTAACAAAAGTTCAAATGCTAGGATATTAATAAGGAACATATATACATTAAAGCTAGAAAATACTGTAATAGGTAACACCAAAAAGTCTTAATTCCTATACATATCCAGAATGTAACAATTTTACAAAAGTAGAGCAATGACATGCCACTGAAACAAAAAGTACATCTTAAAGATACTGAATAGCTTTGGTTGCACAGCAGAAACATATATGGAAAACCTGACTTTAAGTGAATCAACAGGTCTAATTCAATCATCTGCATTTTGCTTTGTTTTGTAAGCCACATAGATGAGTCTGATACACTGCCAGAGTTGAGAAATTACTCTATTAAGGAATCAGTATAGCATTTATCATATGCTATTAACAGTCCTTAGTATACATCTTTGGGGTGACTAAATATGTCTTCAAACTTTTCAATCTTCCTTTCAAAAGGTAGAGCCCAATTCCCCACCCTTTGAGTGGGCTCAATTTAGTGCCTTGCTTCTAAATAGAATACGGCAGAAGTGATGGTGTCTCATTTCTGAGGCTGAACACCATCTAGGTAATAAAACCATGGTATCTTCCTTTCTCTCTTTCTGGAATCATTTATTCTACAGAAATCAGCTGTTACATTTCAAGGACATTCAAACAGCCTTATGGAAAGCATGTGGCTATGAAATGAGGGCTCCAGGGAGGACTAAGGTCTCTTGCCAATAGCCACATGTGAGTGAGCACAGAAGCCGATTCTACAGTCCCAGCGGGACCCTGAGAGGACTGCAGCACTGATCAACAGTTTGATTGCAATCTCATCAGACTCTGAGCCAGAAATACCTACTGACCTACTCCAAATTTCTGACCCACAGGAATGATAAATGTCATGAGATGACAAATGTCTGCTGTGCTACTAAGTTTCAGGGTAATTTGTTAGTAATCATAAACTAACTTTTCTCATAGACCTATTTTCATTTCTTTACAAAGACTTGAAGTGGGTTATAACCTAAATAAGAAAATTCATTTCAATGGTATATGAGATTTTTAAACATTTTCTCTTTGAAGTTTAATTTCAATATACTTACTTATAGCAACCTTTTTAATGCAGACAAAATGATTCATGATAGGTTAATTTTTCATGTTTATCATGAGCATGGAAGTACTTAGATCTGCATGAAGAAATGGGACAATAACCTCATGATGTATCTATAGATACATTTATAACTGACAATCTGGTAATACTGCATGAGAGACACATGAAACAATACTTATTCATGCTAGGCAACCTGAATAAGCATAATCAACTAAACATTAACCTAACTAGGTATCAAGCTAAACCTGCTTCAGTTTACTGGAAATCACTGAGAGACATAATATTATCAATGTGTTATACTGTTTTATTGCAACTGCTGTTAACAAGCAAACTCAGAGTCTCCACATTGAATCCAAATGCTATGATTTTACTGAATATTGGTTTGGTGGTTGTGGTAAATTTTCAGTTTAACAACGGCTGTTCTGGTAACTGTCACTTTGCATCTCTCTTAGCCAAACACCAAATCTATTCCATTCCCTCCAGTATTTTTTTAAATAATTCCCTCCAGTATTTTTTTAAATAGGGCACTTTAAAAGAATTCAAATATTAGCAGCTAAATATGTGGTGAAAGAACTTTGTGGTTTTGTAATCATTATAGTACAGACTACAGTTTAACAAAACAGCAATACAGAATTCCTAAACAATCTTTGTTCAACATCTTCTGTTAGAAGCAATTCAAATCAAATCAAAAACCAATAAAAGCCACAGCAGCCACAACAAATCAACTACCATACACAAAAATGCTAAATACCTGAAATAGTCTGAAAGGCAGATTACTTTTTAAAATGTGTTAGACTGAAAATTATATAGAAGCACAGTTTATAATTTCACATTTAATAGTAAAACAGGTAAATATGCATTTAGAAGGTAACTTTTCTTAAGTCCTATAGGAAATCATTTCATTTTTATTTCAAAATTTTTGAAAACAAGAAAAGGTCTGTACTTACAAATTATAGCTAAACAAAATAATTTGAACCACAGAAGTTTAATAATATACCAAAATGTTATGGATCAGGAAGAGAAGGCAAAATGTGCATCCCTTTTTCTATTTGTCCTAATTAAAAGTACCAATGCTACTTCATCTGAACATCTGGCATCAACATTAACCTGCTATGCAAAATTAATGAAATAAAAATGTTCAAATCACTAAATCAAAAGAAAATTAAATTCTGATAGTAAGTGGTCATTTTAAAAAACTGTCTCCATGACAAGTCAGATTGTTCATGAGGAACTGTGCTACACCAGATGCTACTGTTGATAGGTTTGTGATCTGAATGGCACATTATCTTGTCTAGAGCTAGACTTTACCCTCTGGTATACTGCATAGCATTTTGGAAACATGTGAAGGAAAAGTGGGGCTAAAATCTTTCAGATCATGAAGACAGAAAAAAAGATTTTGAAAATGTTAAGGACAAAGAAATAATACTGAAAGAGTGAATACTTCATTCCTACCTTAACTAATTGAATTCGCACTAATTCTATGTTCCATAAGAACTTCTTAGCCCAGCAAAAGCATAAATCTGCCAATAAATTATGACTCTGACCAGAGAGTTTTCCAACTCCAATTACCCTTGGGGGGGGGTGGCATCAGATAAACACAAAGAAAACCAGAAGCTACAAAATAAGAAACACATGATTTACAAAGCACTGTGGAAGATGGGATCAATGGGGAGCAACTAAGTATTTTAACTAACAAAAGTCACATAGATAAAGTGTGAAAGTGCGGCTGCTGTTGAAGGTAAACAAATCATAAAGATGCAATAAAATAGAAAACAGAGAACTAGAGAGGAAACAATGCAGCTCTCTTGTGCAATAGGAAGTACCACTGCTTTCATTTTTAGGTGCCACCTTTTATAAATATATAAACAAACTCAAATATTCTTAGAAGAAGATTGCCAGAATGGTAAATGAATATCATTATCAGATAGCTTGCTAAGGATTCTTGGCCTAGAAAATTGAACTGTCAGAGTGAATTTGGTAGGTTTTCAAATAATTGAAGGCCTATCACTAGAAAGAAGGATTACATTTACTCAATATATCCTCCATGGGATATAGTTAGAACCAGTAAGTAGAAGCAACAGATTTTGGCTTAAAATAGAGATTGAATTTTTTAATAATAAGAGCCTCCCAAAGGCTGAATAAAATGCCTGAAAGAGTTCTCCATCACTAGAATGGTGTCAAGCATAAACTGAACAGCCCCTGGCAGATAAGTACTAGATTGGATAATAAATCCCTCACAAACCTCAAAGAGTATAATCCTTAGGTTTAATTTTGTTTATGAGATATTATACAAAATATAAGATGCTACAGTACTTTCAGTTACTGATCTGTAAATATTAGTAACAAAGTTTTTTAATTACACGAAACAATAAATATAAATTATGAGATAATTTTATTAAAAATGCATGAAAATTTTTAAATAGAATTTTTCACTCAAATATGTAAACTTTGAGCCTCTGAGACAGAAGACTGAAAGAGAAAGAAAGAGAATATATGTACAAATCTATTTCACTCTCATTAGCTCATTTGTCAGGGACATTTTCTTTTCCATTTTCGTAAGGTTCTGAGAATAAAATTTAAAAATAGTTTATTGATTATCTTCCAAATATCACATTTATTTTTGACAAATATTTAATAAGTATCTACAATGTCAGGCACTGTTCTAGATTCTGAGGATCTAGAAAAAATAAAGTCACTGTTTTCAGAGTTTACATTGGTTGTGTAGGGAGGAGACAGACAATACATACATATAGGGTGTTTTCATGTAGAAAAGTGCTCTGAAGAGGTAGGTAAGGGGGTAAAGTACAGAAGAAGAGGAATGAAGGGAAGAAAAAGAAGAAGAAAAGGAAGGGAGGTGAAGGAATAAATGAGTAGATCCTAGATAAGAACATCAGAAAAGG